TTTTTTTCTACTTACTGATTTAATAACAAAAAATCTTGCTCCTTTAGGATTTAAATTAAAATCTTTTGGATTATATTGATGATTTCGTTTAAGTGCATCAAGAGTTTCTTGATTAGCAGCAGATAATGATTGTTGTCCAATAGTTGATGTTGCACCACTACCATTACTCATATTGTTTGTTGTTCGAGATGATGAATAATTTTGTTGATAATTTAAATTTGATCGTTTATTATTTGATGATGCTGATGTTTGTTGTTGTTGTTGTTGTTGTTGTTGTGAAAAAGATGAACGTTCATAATAATTTGATGAACCACTATTATAATAATTCGATGATGTATTACTACCACGAGAATTCGATGGTAAACTACTATTTGTCCAAGTAAGAAAATTTCCACTAGCAGGTGATTGTTGTTGTTGTTGTTGTTGTTGATTACGAGAATTATATCCACCTGTACCATTACGTGTTTGTTGAGAATAATTATTCGTAGTATTATTATTACCTCGCATATTTGTATTCGAACGTGAATTATTAGAGTCATTAGAAAAATTTGATGTCGTATTCATACGTTCATTTGTTGATGATTGTACTGTTGAACGAATAGACATATTAGGAACAGATGGAGTCGATTTATTGTTATTAGTATTATTAATAGTATCAGATGAAACAACGGATGCATATGATTTTGGACCACTTGACGTAGACGATGAAGGTACTTGAGATGGACGTGATGATAATGAAAGATTACTACTATTCGTTTGATAATGTTGTTGTTGTTGCTGTTCTTTAGATGATAATACATTCATATTTTGTGTATTATCATTTGTTCCATTGTCATAATTATGTGTGTCATCATTTGTTGTATTATTTCCTAGATCAACTGCATTCATATGTTGAGCAAGCATATCACCAACACCAGTAGCTGGATATTCATCATAAACAGTTGTTTTTTTATTTGATGCTGGTCCACCACCAATAGGTGTCATTTGTTGTTGAGCTGCAACTTGCATTTGTTGCATTGATAAATTATGTGGATTCCATGACATATCAAATGCTGATGTACCTGTTGATGGTGGTCCAGGAAAAGTTGAAGGTGTAAAACCTGGATGATAATGAGGATAAGCATGATGTGGTGGAGGATATTCAAATGGACTACGAGGTATATCAAGTGGTGATGGTGTATACAATTGAGGATGAAATTGCATTGGTCCAGGTGGAGGTGGTGGAACATTGCCAGATGTATCAGCTGATCCCCATTGATTATGATCATCAAATGGACCAAATGGTTGATAAAGACTTGGAGGATAATATGAATAAAGATCATTTGGATTTTGCATTGGTGGGATACTCATCATATCATAATGATCTTAAATATAAAATAAATTCAATTATATATTTTATTAATTTAAATATATTCTTACTAGTTGGATAACCATACTGCATATTAGCTGATGTTGGTGTATTGGCTTGTGCAGAAGTACGTTCGTTGATCATCGTTTTTCTTTTAAATTTTTGTTAATTATATTTAGCACAAAGAATAAAACATGACTAAAAAACGAATGAATAAAATAGAAAATGATCGACGAATAAAAATGTATCCAAATAAGAATCCAAAAAAAAAAAGGAAGAAAATAAAACACGTGATGTTTTTTTTTAATGAAACAATTAGTTAGATTTATTATGTAATTTAAATAAAATATTTAATAACAATTTCTATAACAAAATAGAAATATAATTGAATATTATAAAATAGAGATTTTCATAAGAAATTTTTCTAGATATTAAAAATCTAAAGTTTTTAAAATATTTGTTTTCATAAACTTTGATGACGATTGAGTAACTGAAGAAGAAATTCTAGTAAACATGCAAACAAACAAACGACGACACGAAATAAGAATAAACCAATAAGAAATTATTTAATTTTTCTACTTCGTAGAGATTTCTAATAGTATCATTTTAAATAAAAATCTTTTCAATTTTATAATCAATTAATAAAACAATTTTAAATTATTAACTTAAGTTTTTTGATAAACTTAAAATAAGAAAAGAATAGATGTCGTTGATATTATAACCAATTAGAAATAATTATTATCAATAATTTCTTTTTTTTTTTTTGTTATATTGTTTTGTTCTGTTTTTGTGTAATTAATCAAGTTTTTCATCTCTAATTTAATCATGGAATATCTTGAAAAATTAAAAACTTATGGTGATCAAGTAAAAAATGTTGTTGTTAAATCTATGGTTGATACAGCTCATGGTGGACAAAAAATGCTTAAAGATGTTTTACCAGGCAATTTAGTTACACGAGAATTTGAAGTAGAGAATTTTTGAAAATAATAAAAAAAAAAAACTAAATTATTTCATTTTTAAAGCTTGTTCAACCACTTGGATCAGCTGGTCCGGGTCTTCTTTGGAGGATCTATGGAGCAATTAAACGTACAACTAAACAAGTTTGTCGTTTTAATCAAAGATTATAACGAACATTTATCAATACTAATAATTATTTAGGAGGCAGCTGTATTTGTTTTACAAAAACGTTTATTAGATAAATATTCAAAAAAAGATCGTGAATTAATTCTTGAAGCAATGAAAAAAGGTTGTTAAATATTATGAAAAATCTTATGTTCTTTTATACAGTAAATTTTTGTATACTCTAGGTGTACAACAATTAGCAAAGATAAAACATCCTCGTATATTAAGTCTTCAACATCCATTAGAAGAATCACGGTTTATTTTCATTTTTTGTTGTGATTCATAAATTATAATATTTTCTTTCATAATATTTAGAGATAGTCTTGCATTTGCAACTGAATCTTGTTTTGCTAGTCTTGCTAATTGTCTTGGTTGCTATGATAATATGACTCAACCTATACCAAAAGAATTTGAAGATTATAAACTTCATGATGTTGAAATTCGTTATGGTATTGTTCAGGTATAATTTTTTTGTCTTAATAAAAATTCTATTATTTATTATTATTATTATTTTTTTTTTGTTGCAAAAAAGCTTTGTGAAGGATTAAAATTTTTACATAATGAAGTAAAATTACTTCATCGAAATATATCACCTGAATCAATTATAATTAATACTAATGGTGCATGGAAAATAGCTGGTTTTGAATTATGTATTCAAGGTTCAGCTGATGGAGTAAAATTTCTTTTTTTATTTTCATACAAAAATAAGAAATATTTGTATTATTTTGTTAGGCAACTTATCCATTTCGTGATTATGATGGAAATATTCCACCTATACTTAATCCACAACTTGATTATATGGCACCTGAATATGTAACAAATAAAAGTTATGATAGTCAATCAGATATGTTTTCACTTGGTATGCTTATATTTGCATTATATAATCATGGTAAAACATTATATGAATGTCATGATAATTATTCATCATTTACAAAAATGTGTGATGAACTTAAAGTACTAAATACAACAAAATTATCTATTTTACCAAAAGAAGCATGTGAACATGTTAAAATGTTATTAAGTACAAAACCAGAATTACGACCAGATGCTGAACAATTTTCAAAAGTGAATTGGAAAAAGAAATAATTATAAAATAATTTAATATTTATATATAGGTACCTTTTTTTGAAGATATTGCAACAAAAACATTAGAATATCTTGATTCATTATTTCAAGTTGATAATATTCAAAGATCAATGTTTTATAAAAGTCTTCCACAAGTTATTGATAAATTACCAATGGTAAATTTTTTTTTGAATCTCTAATTAATTATTCTTTTTCTTTTTTTTTTTTAAAGCGTGTCAATTTACAACGTATTACTTCAGCATTAGAACTTGAATTTATTGATTCTGAAATGGTTCCATTTGCTCTTCCAAATATGTTTCTTATTGCTGTATGTTGGTAATTTTTTTTTTATATACTAATATTCATTCATCATATGGATATAATTTTAGTCGAGTATCTGATTTATAAAATTAAATTTGAAATATAATTAAAGATATTTAATAGATTTGTGATTCGATTTGTAATTGTGACAGATGAGTAAATATTTCAAAAAACAAACAACAGACGACACTTTCATAAAAAGCAAACGATTCAACGTTAAAAATACTCTTCATAATAGTCATAAATATGAAATCTAAGTTTTCAAGTTGAATTTATGAAAAAAAAATACGTATAAGATAGTATCAATGTAATGAATTTATCATTTAGCAAAAGTTGTATTTATGTATTTATTTACGTGTTTTGTTTTACCTTTCTGACCTTAATGATTCGAAAGAACAAGTACTAATGGTTGAATTAGGGCGTTCTGTTCTTTACTGATCGAAGTAAAATCAACTAAATTCGGCTACAAATTTTCCCACTAAGCTGCATTCTGTTATAATTAAGTCCATCATTTCCCACTGTCAAAACCCTAATTATGTCACTCATCCGTTATAGGGATAAACAAAAAGTCAGAAAAGAAAATAGTATAACGTCAAAGATGATCTATTACGATAAAAGATAATTGGCAAAGAGATAATTTCAATAGAACAACGAAGAATGAATGACAGCATTAACATCGCTTCTAACAAATAAACATTAGCAGATTTCCGTTCACTTTCGATTTCGAACTTAGTGAACTTTGCTAAAGATATTTGCACGAAGAATATATTTTTGAATTTTGACCTGAAGTTTTACATATATAAAGACGTCAATCAGACTGATCTGTATAAAAAGTTTTATAGTTTTTAATTTAAGTCTCTTCTAGCTACAAAATTTCTTTGATATAAGCTCCTTTCTAAGACTAGTATTTATATCATAAATTTTTTTGAGAGCTTCATATCTCAGAGAAAATTATAATTAGAAATTCTAAAATTATTTATGTAAGCAAATCTAATTGAAATCTTTACGTAGATCAAAGATTCAAGTCGAAGTTTGAAAATATGATTCCGTTTCATATCTGTAGGGTCCTACATCCGAAGTTCACTAAAAGCATGGGATTCCTTCAAAAGCAATCCATTGGTAGGAACTCTTTTTTCTTATTAACTTAACTCACTTTGCTATACAAAATACACTAAGTCTTGGTTCAAAAGCTGTCAAACACTTGAAAATCTTTCTTCATGAGTCTAATGAACTGTGATTCGATAACCAGTTTAAGATGCAACTAAGTACATGTACACTCGTGTCAAATCGTTTGAAACGATAACAAGAACGGAATCGATCTGTTCCCTTATTAAGATATTTCATTCAATATGCATGACATAGGTTATCGAGCGAGGGCTCATTGAAGACAATCATTTAGCAAAACTTTATTTATGTATGTTAATTTTTGTTTTGTTTCCTAGGAAAAAGCAAGTAATGATGAATATCGAAAATATATATTTCCTAAGCTCAAACAAGTTTTTAAAATACAAAAACCTCCTCAGGTAAGAAAAAAACTTATTTAAAAAACATCCAATTATTTTTGTTTCTTTTCAGGGAAGTGGAGCATCGGGTTCTATTATGCAGGTTTAATTAATTTATATATTTATTTATTTTTAATTATAAATTTTATTGCTAGACTCTTTTAATTTTAATGCGTAATATGAAATTAATGTTAACAAAAACTCCATCAGAAGATATTAAACAATATATTTTACCTGTTGTTTATAATGCACTAGATGCTGAATCATCACAAGTTCAAGTATTGAAAAGAAGAACAATAATTTATTATTTAATTTTTATGAATTCTGCTTAGGAACTTTGTTTAGCAATTATACCATCATTTGCACATCTAATTGATTTACAAGCAATGAAATATTCTATATTACCACGTATAAAAAAGATTTGTTTTGAAACAATAACATTAAGTGTAAGTAAGTAGTAGTATTGAATATATTTTTATTTTGTTCTCATTTTTATTTGTTATTTAAGGTTCGTGTTAATTCTTTAATATGTCTTGGAAAATTAGTTGAATCATTAGATAAATGGATTATTATTGATGAAGTTTTACCACTTCTTCAATCTATACCATCACGTGAACCAGCTGTACTTATGGCAATATTAGGTATAATTAAAGTTGCTATGTCATCAACAAAAGCTGGTGGTTTACCACGTGAAATAATTGCAACAAAGATTATACCATTTTTAGTACCTATATCAATTGAAACAAGTCTTAATCTAAATCAAGTAAATTTATTTTTTTTTAATATATAAAATAAAAAATATTTTTATTATCTATAGTTTAATGCATATATGTCAACAATTAAAGGTATGTTACAAACAGTTGAAATTGAACAACGTAAAAAACTTGAACAACTTTCACAACAAGCATCAAAGTAAAATAAAACAAAATATTCGATTAAGTTTTTTATATAGTATTCAAGTATGTGTTTATTTTTTTTTTTTAGTGCACCAATTGTACCAATTGGTCCAACAGCAACAACAACAACTGATTTTCATTTTGATCAAAATTCATCTTCAATGGTCAATTATAAAATATTTGTTTAAAAATATTTATATATATATATATTTTTTTTTTTCTTCTATAGATGGATCAATTTATGACTGGTCATGGATTTAATTCGGAAATAGCACAAAATAAAAGTATATCACCAATATTTGATAATAATCAATCCAATGATAATATAAAATCACAAAAAATCTCATCTTCATTAACAAATTCAACAGAAAATTCATTAGTAAAAAAAGTAATTAAAAAAAATATTTTTAATATTCTTTTGTATGAAATTAAACATATGTATATATATATTAGACATTAACATTAGAAGAAAAAGAACGTATTATACGTCAAACTGAACAAACACAACGTATGAAATCTCAAGGTGAACTTATACCTGAACGTAAAACACCATTATCATCATTGTCAAATACAAATTCAAATGTTCCACTTATGACAATGACACCAACAGCATCATCAACAACAGCATCAAATACATCTTCAACATATTTTAAAGATTTAACAAGTTCTTTATTTGATCCAAATCCACCAAAACAATCTTTTTATGGTATGTCTAATTCTCAAACAATGCCATCACTTGTACGTCCAACTATGACATCACTACCACAACAACAAATACGGCCAACATTAAATTTTTCGTCATCAACAAATTCTACTGATTTAACATCAAGTCTTTTGAATAATATTAATTCACTTGCTTCTCGATCACAAACAACTTCAACAACAATACCAATGAATTCAATGGCTACAAAATCATCAATGCCTTCGCCTTATTTTAATTCAAGTGCAACAAATACTACAGCTTTATTTCAACCACCACCTCCACCAGGCTCAACTGTAATCAAAGGTTCTACTACATCATCAAATATAACACATTCGAAAAGTGCATCCTCTGAACTTGATGATCTTTTTAATTGATTTTATTCAACAGTGATTAATGAATGTATTTAAATCAAAACAAACAAAAAGCAATATTTCTTTTTCTTTTTTTTATAATTAATTTACATTCCCAGTTTTGTTCTTATTTATTTTATTTTTTTGTTCTTTTTTTTTCTCGTCTGGTGATAAACGAAAGAACAAGGTTCACTGACTGTTTCATATTCTTGTCCTTTTCATTAATATTTATTCAAGTGAAACGCCTGACAAAATAATAGACTACATCGATTGATTACTTTTTTTGTATATTCGATAAAATAGCAAGTATTGACTGAGAAAGATCATCATTCGTTTTTTTTTGAAAGAATCCTTTTTGGTATTGCTCAATTAATCGGTTAAAATAAATATGACTGTCGTTAATTTTATCTAAATAAAACCTTGTGACTATTGAGTAAGTTGGCCTCGTGTTACATAAATCATGGCCAAATTAAGGTAGACGTATATGCAAGGTTTTCTTGTATGCGTACGTTCTCTATATTAGTCGCTCATTTTTTTAATAGAAGTCGGTGAAGAATATTCAACCTCACCATAGACTATTTGACAGCAATGGAATGTTGCCCAGTTTATGAATTTCCATATTGTGGTTATCAACCATGTTCAATACAACTTTGTAATGATGATATAAATACATTATTATCGGTATGTACAATTTTATGTATGAATTGAATGAGAATAAACTCGTATTCAACAGAATATTAACCCACCAATAGATGCTCAATGTTGCTATCAGTCTCCGACAATTACTTTAAACTGTGTTCCGCAAATAAATTCGAGTGCATGCAACAGGGATACACTTGTGTATCAAGCACCAGGTTTGCTTCTTATTTTGAAAGTATTATAATTGGTAATAGAAATATTGATTACTCTATAGACACTATGCCAATAGAAACAATTTTACAAGAGTTTGGTGTTAATGTGAATACAGTACAACCGTGTAGTTCTCTCAATACCTGTTACCGAAGTAAGTGGTATTCTTTTTATATTAAAATATTAATAAATAATATACTAAATATTTAAGAAGATGTATGTGAACCAATGGAAGTCACTATCTTATCTCCTTTACGTCGTCGTCGTCGGCGACTTATTTGTCACGAAGTTTCAGATTCTGAGGATGACCATTACTACAGACGTCGGCCACGTTATCGTCGTCATTCATATGATCCTGATTCTCGACCCGATCGTTCAGAAAAGTCTCCAACTGCTGCTCATGATGCATTAAGCAATGTATGGGAGAGAGCAAGAACAGCATCAGAACATTTACCACGATCTTCTACAGATTCTAATATTGCTCGACAATGGGAAGCAATGCGACGTAGTACTCCTCCTCCACCAAGCAATGTTGATATGAATAGAGTTTGGCAATCAATGCAACGTACTCCACCACCTGATCCTACGATTTCGCGTGCTTGGGAAGCAATGCAACGTACTCCACCA